ATGTAGCACTTTGGGATATGGTTTAGTAGGAATGGTGTTGTTGGGCGGATGGTTGGACTTGATGATCTTGGAGGTCTTTTCCAACCTATGATTCTAGGATTCTAGAGGTAAGGAAGAAATTCTTCACATTGAGGGTGGTGAGGAGCAGGCCCAGGTTGCCCAGAGAAGCTGTGGCTGCCCCCTCCCTGGCAGGGTTCAAGGCCAGGTTTGGACAGGGCTTTGAGCACCCTGGTCTGGTGGAAGGGGTCCCTGCCCATGGGAGGGGGTTTGGAACGAGATGATCTATAAGGTTGCTTCCAACCCAAACCATCCTGTGATTCTATGATTTTCTGTTTAAGCTGCTCTTACTCTACCCAGCTATTACTGGTGCAGCACCAAGCCAGCTCTGCCTCCCACATGCTGAACTGCTGTCAGGGTTTTATCATCCTGCCACAGCAAGGACCTGATGCTGAATCAGTGCTAAAACACACACGGACTTGCAAACCCAACTGAGGATAAAGTTTATCAAAGATTACTGGAAGAGCCCCATCACAGCCCTGTCCCTGTTTCTGTGTGGTGCTGTCTTAATGTGCAGGACGGTGAGGGGACTGGAGCATCTCCCCTACGAGGAGAGGTTGAGGGAACTGGGCTTGTTCAGCCTGAAGAAGAGAAGGCTGCGAGGGGACCTTATAAATGCCTACAAATATCTGCAGGGTGGGTGTCAGGAGGATGGGGCCAAGCTCTTTTCAGTGGTGCCCAGTGACAGGACAAGGGGCAATGGGCACAAACTGAGGCACAGGAAGTTCCGTCTGAACATGAGGAAGAACTTCTTCCCTCTGAGGGTGACGGAGCACTGGAACAGGCTGCCCAGGGAGGTTGTGGAGTCTCCTTCTCTGGAGATATTCAAGACCCACCTGGACAACGTCCTGTGCAGCCTGCTGTAGGTGACCCTGCTTCGGCAGGGGGGTTGGACTAGATGACCCACAGAGGTCCCTTCCAACCCCTACTATTCTGTGATTCTGTGATTCTGAGCATACTTCACTATACGTGAATGCTTGGCTGCTGCAGAGCAGGCACAACGTGTAAAAACACCGTTCCTGTGCTTGGCACTGCTTGAAAATTCAAGCCACTCAGGTTTCTGTTTTCACTGGAGAACTGCACCCGATTTGCCGTGCGGTTTCATTAAATGACAGGCTCATCAGGAAGCTTGGACCTAGAGCACGACTCGATAAATAGCCAGACAGCTCTTTCTGTTGCAGACTGCTGCCCTGTATCAGTTGGTTTTGGTGGCCCTCTCCTCCTCAGCCTCAGAATCCCCCTAGAATGTTGCTAGATCCATCACCCATGGAGGCATCTTGACCAGCTTCAGCAAAAAGCTCACTGAAACGGGTCCAGAGGGAAAAACTCTTTTCCAAGAAGCCTCAAGTACTTCAGCTTCCTAGCCAGCTGGAGGAGTGTCAAAGAAAGTGCGAGAAGCCGAGCTGTGTACGGAGGGCTCTGATGACAGCCACCCTTGGCTGCTTCAGTGGAACTCGCATCCTAGAAGGGATGGGAGATTCTCCAAGTCCAGCGCTGCACCATGCCCCACAAACTGAGGATTCAGCTCGGGGTGCATGGACTGGGACAGCCTCTAATGTAGGAAAGCCGTTACCTGTAAGTTGTTGGCATCTGAAGCATATTCATTCCATGCTTGCCCTGTTCCATGCTTTTGTCTAGGAACCCACGAAGGCCACTGCCTCGGGCAGAGCAGACCCTTTGTCTGAGCAGCAGAGCCGTCACTTCGTGCAAGTCCGGTCGGTTTATTCTGTGGAAAGCACGGGCTGGGTACTGAATGAACAGATGAAAGCCTCAGGTGATACAGTCCCAATTACGTAAAAGTAACCGATTGCCAAGGCAGTTTTACGAACACTGCCGGGCAAAGATTGCCACGGCGAAAGAAGCTGGGTGAAAGAGAACAGGAAGACTCACAGCTTCGAGGTTCAAGGTCTTCTGCACCAGCCCCCAGGAACTGCAGGTTAGATCTAAGAGGAAATATGGGTATCCCCAGTGCAACAGGCATGCACGAGACAGGCGTCTTTGCCAGCAGCAGCTGCACTGTGTCTTTGCAGGAAAGAAGCGTCACCACCGAGAGGTCTGATGTCAAAGGGAACAGAGGGGAAAAAGGTGAAGCTCTGCTTCAGGATCTGTGCGAGAGAGACTCAGGCACGGATTGTCAGGAAGGACTGACACACTGCTTCGGTAGTAACTCTCCACAGACTTGCTAGTGAAAAGGCCGGTAATTAGCTCATACAACAAGAACAAAAACCCCCTTGGCTGTAAATTCAGGTTATTTCAACTACCCTCGTGTTTAGCTTGCGATAAAGGACTACAGTCTTAGAGGCATGCATACACTAACCAACCTTCCACGGTACTGAAGTCCTCTTTTCCTGTCAGGCATGCTCTTTGGGAAGGATGGGACACTCGTGCCTGTGCTAGCAATACACAGTCCTGTCACTGGCTGTCTCAGACAGCCCAACAGCCGTAAAACTGAAGATCTGCACAAGAGACAGCACATATAGGAAAATGATGGCAAATCAGGATTTTACTTTATTCATACTGGAAGTTGAACCATTTACCTGGAATGAAGATGATGTGGACAGACAGTCTGCCCAAGTACCACTGAGATGCTGAAAAACCTTCTTGTGTACCTATTTCGCTTTGGACTGCTACTTTCCAAATTATTTGCTCTTCCTGCTCGTCTGCTATGCAGGAATACACCAGTAACTCACAGGATTTAGACACTTTAGACTTGTACAGAAGTCAACAGCAGGAACTAGGAAAAGACCAATATTGCATGGGTTAAGGCCCTGAAACTTGAGGTCCTGAGCCAAAGAAAACACCAGTAGTATGCAGCTCTATAATTAGGATTTAAGCTGGGGATTAGTTGCCCCTTTTGCGCAAGCATTTGACTCCAAGGCAAGGGACTCCGGAAGGTGTTTCAAAACTGGGGTAGGTAGGGTGGGGAGAAACAGGAGCAACAGATACAGGAACAGCTGGAACCAGTTTAAGATGAATTCACAATCAGGTCTCCCGGAATTGTAAAATACCTGACTGAGCCTACTCACGCACCCGTACCCATCGGGGTGAGCCCTCAACCCTTGTTTTTCGGGGAAGCAATGCTGTAGAGGTAGGAGAGGTGTCTCAGCAGAGAGCACAGCTGCAGGAGCTCCCAAGATCTCCCCTGTTACGCTGAAATCACAGAATCATAGAAAGTTTTGGGTGGGAAGGGACCCCTAGAAGTCATCTAGTCCCATCCCCCGCAGCGAGCAGGGACACCACTAACTAGATCAGGGTGCTCAGAGCCCTGTCCAACCTGGTCTGGAATGTTTCCAGGGATGGGGCCTCCACTGCCTCTCTGGGCAACCCATTGCAGTGTTTCACCACCCTCATTGTAAAGAATTTCTTCCTTATATCCAGCCTAAACCTACCCTGTTTTAGTTTAAAACCATTACCCCTCGTCCTGTCTCTGTTGTCTCTGCTAAAAAGATTGTCCCCATCTTTCCTGTCGGCTCCCTTTAAGTACCGAAAGGCTGCAATCAGGTCTCCCCGCAGCCTTCTCTTCTCCAGGCTGAACAAGCCCAACTCTCTCAGCCTGTCCTCATAGGAGAGGTGCTCCAGCCCTCGGATCATTTTTGTAGCCCTCCTTCCAAAGCCTGAGAACCAATCCCGCACAGCTGGAACCGGGCTCTGTGTCGCAGGATTTTTCTTACCTCCCCCTAAGCTGTATCCTCTTAAACAGGGCCTGCAGGGCCCACAGTCTTACAAAAGCTCAAGTTTCTGACCCCTCTGCTAACAAGGAACCAGGGATGCAGCGTCAAGGCATGAAGGCCCATCTAGAGCAACCTGTTGGCCTCCATTTTCCACCAATGCTGTTTCCTTTAGGGATTAGAGAAGTTCAGCTCTTCACTGTTTGGGCCCAGCCAGTAAGCTCCAGCACTCAGGCAAAAAGGCTTCGTCCTTACCCCAAAGATTTTTGGGATGTTTTCATTAAAACCTGGAGCCTCCTCTGACAGTTGCCACCAGCCAGAGCTATTCAATAGTTTGTGCAGCTGCACCCAGGCAGCCTGCTGCCATAAATAAGGCAACAAAGCATCCCAGCTGCTCAGTTCTGTTTCTGTCCCGTCAGTTCTGGTACTAGCCAAGTTACACACACTTTGCTCAAGGTATACGTGGGCCTCTGTGACACGCCACAGCTACCACCATGATTACCGTTCGGTTTCAGCACACCTACACATACAGACTCCAGGAACTAGAGGAACACAAATTTGGACAGGTTTAGCCCTCTGGGGTCTTTCAGGCAATTACTGCAGGCCTGTGCCTCAATCTTAACGAGATCAGCACAGTTCTCTGTCCTAACTCAGGGCTGCAAATCTAGAAAAGTCCATTGGCCTGGAGTCACGTGGCAAGGCTTCCAGATGTTGGGGTTTCTTCTGCAAAAAGCCCATTCTGAACTGTCCACGTTTTTCAAGTAATTCTCCCTGAAGACCAAAGCTGTCAGAGGATCACTTGAGAAAGCTCTGCACAGATAAAAGGAGCTGAAAACTGTTACTCTGCAGAGCGGTGCGCTCTGTCAACAGGACAAGTCTGAAAAAGCCTGAAGTGGAAGTAACTTGAAGACACCTTGTTACTCTGTCACCCTACCAGAAAACTGCTGAGATTACAACCATTTAAGAGGAGGAGTATCAAGAAAGATTGAAGTCTGACTAATAGGCTAACGTAGAGGAACCCATTCTTTTGTCTGTACTCCTACCAGATCCATGCTGCACCTGAAGACATCTACAACTTCTTCCAGTTTGCTGAGAAAGCATGACACGAAATACGGTAATTGGAAGACCACACCATTAAATGGGAGTTGGTGATTGCACAGACATCTCTGAAGCATCATAGATGAGGGACTGGGGAGGGAGTGGTGAGAGGCACCAGTAAGTTCTGGGAAGGGTCCAACACAACCAGTGTTCCTGGGCACTGACCGACCGACTGACCAGCCTATGGCAGCGGCCTGCTGGTTTCTCCAGCAGGAAGCTCTCGCTTCGCAGCTTTGTGCTCCCCTGGCCACACGTCATCCTTTCGGTCACCAACAGCTTCAGGCTCAGACATTCACCCGAAGTCTAGTTATATGGGCAGTGAAACCCCCAAAACTCGCTCCAAGAGAGGAGCACCACAACACCCAACACCACATAGCACACCACCGATTATCCCCATAACCTTCTCATCCTTTTCTGAGTCTCCACACAGCTGAATAAACCATTTTACACACAAAGCAGACTATATCCACTTTGGCCAAGCCCAACATGCTGCTGACCTGCCATGCTAGCCTGTCAAATGTGCATTTCTATACCTGCATCAAAATCTTAAGTCGTTAGAAATGTCTACATTTGGCCTAAATTGGATTTCTATCAAGACCTATTAAGATATTTGGGGGTTGGACTAGATGACCTTTCAAAGGTTCTCTTCCCAGCCAAAATATTCTGTGAACCCAGGGAAAAAAGCAGCCCTTCCTCACTCAACGTTTCTTTTTTTCTATTTTCTCTTTAGGACTGTGCTTTGTTTGCCAGCTATTCCTAATCAATTTGTGTTGAGCTCGCACTACAGCATTTTAATTACAGTGTTGTACAACACCTGATCTTAGATTCCTAGAATCACAGAATGGTTTGGGTTGGAAGCGACCTTATAGACCATCCAGTTCCAACCCCCCTGCCCCAGGCAGGGACCCCTGCCCCCAGCCCAGGGTGCTCCCAGCCCCGTCCAACCTCGTCTTGAACCCTACCAGGGAGGGGGCAGCCCCAGCC